TGGAAGCTTCAAGTTTTAGAAGCTTAAGTTTCATTAAGATTCTATTATCTTTGCTTTTCTTGAAGCGAAATAAACTTTTACATTGTTATTCAAAACTTCCATTTGTTCAGTAGTAATGAAAGAGCATGTTCATTTTTAAGCTTGTGTTCCTACCTTCTGACTACATTCAAATAAATATGAAACTGATTTGGAAAAGATTGGTACAAAGGGCATTCATGCTGTTCATCAAATATTCTTTAATAGTTAGTTCTTCACAAAGGGAGAGGAAATAAACCAATACCAGTTCTCTTTGTAATATATATAGAATTATAGATTTGAAAATTCGAGCACCATTAGTACTGTCAAGTCTGGGCTTCACATTAGTGTGTGCTTGTGCGTGCAGCTTCTCACCCTGGATGGACCAGAGTCATTGTTGAGAAGCCCTTTGGAAAGGACTTGGATTCCGCTGAAGAATTAAGTGCCCAACTTGGGGAGCTATTCGAGGAACACCAACTATACAGAATAGACCATTACCTGGGAAAAGAGTTGGTCCAAAACTTGGTAATGGATGTAACTTTTTCTCAACTTGCTTTATTTTTCACAAATACTTGTCTAACTATTTTTTGACCAATATCATGTTACAGCTTGTCCTTCGTTTTGCCAACCGCCTGTTCTTGCCTCTTTGGAACCGCGACAATATTGATAATATACAGGTAAGATGTTTTGTATTCAGTAGCTAGCAGTAGGCAACTTTATTTTCCAGGTATAAGCTCCATGCACATAAATTGCAGTCCCTTTATCATTCAAGAAGGCACTCTGTAGTTCTGTTCATAAATTATTTGACTTGATCCGTTTGTGATTATAGTATGGAGCTGCTGTATTCTACTGTAACAATTACTACAGTTTGAAATGAGCCAAACTGAACCTAAGATAACTGAAAGCATTACAATATCAATGACATGGCATGCTAATTACTCCAACACTGCAGATTGTATTCAGGGAAGACTTTGGAACTGAAGGGCGTGGAGGATATTTTGACCAATATGGGTATGTACAAGCATTTCTTTTCCTTGCAAAAGTAGAAGCACTAGTGTACCATATTTCAGTAACATTTTTATGAATTTTTCTAGTCTAAAATGATACCCTTACAAGCTAAAGTATAAATCTTCTGCGTAATATATATATAAAGCATGGCATTGATGATAAATTTAGAAATACTTGAATTCCTTGTTGGTTCATATCAATGAATAGATTATTTTGTATTTTTTTTAGTGGAGATGTATTTTGTGTGTAAAACTGTGAAAAATGCATGCTTTTCGTTGTTGCTTAAACTTGCAAGATTCAACAGGGAAAGGTGCAAAACTTTAGTAACCAAATAGCTTGGAAAGAGCATGCTTTCCTTTGATACTGAATTGCCAAAAAAAAGATCATACCACTCTCTCGTGCAATGGTTGAACAGATGAGTTGATGGTAATGAGCACCAGATGATTCTGCCTATTTCTGGCACATTGATTAAACATTTTTGTGTTTCTTTTTATACCTTCTTTTTTTTTTCTTTCTGTTTGCTCTATAAATATCTGACTATGCTAATGTTGTTGCAGAATCATTCGTGATATCATTCAGAATCATTTACTGCAGGTAAATATAAATAAGATATATTTAATACTCCATATGCTGTGGTTCTGCGTTCTGCGATCATTTTCATAATCGAGTCCAGGTTTTAGAGGTTTATTAGTATTTTAGTGACTATGGACAATAAAGGCCTCCTTTTCCCTACCTTTTCCCACTATTTATATTTATGGATACGTGCTGAATCTTGTGGATTAACTAGCCATGACAGAATTTCCTGAAGAGTAGTAGTGAGTGAATGCCTTTGTGCGTTAACAACCTTAATCATAAATTCTTACAATCTGCAGGTTTTCTGTTTGGTTGCGATGGAAAAGCCTGTCTCCCTTAAGCCTGAGCACATCAGAGATGAGAAAGTCAAGGTCCAACTCTCTTTACTCTATTGATGTTACTACTATATATTGCAGCTTCGTCAATTTTCTTGCTGTGGTTTGATTTGCTCTCTGAAATGTGGCAGAGTGCACATCTTATGTTTTTGTTGTTTGGTTAGTGCTCAGTGGAACTAGTTCCGTGTCTTAATGTCAGGTTCTGCAATCTGTGAACCCTATTAAGCCTGAAGAGGTAGTCCTTGGGCAATACGATGGCTACAAGGATGACCCTACAGTGCCAGATGACTCAAATACCCCAACTTTTGCATCTGTTGTTCTTCGGGTACACAATGAAAGATGGGAAGGTATATCTTTGCCCCACATGACAGTATCTGTACATATTACAGTTGAAATCTTCATACTTGTGTGTGTGTTTTTTTTTCCATTCAGCCCCCTTTTCTCAACCATAATATCTTTACTTTCTGTATCAACCCTCTAATATTCATGTCGTGCAGGTGTTCCTTTCATTCTTAAAGCTGGTAAAGCATTGAGCTCAAGGAAAGCAGAAGTTCGGGTGCAATTCAAGGATGTTCCTGGTGACATTTTTAAAAGTATGTGTATAGAAGTTAAAATTCATGGTGTAGTTTACTCTTAGCATAGATTTACCTGTATAGGAGGGGAGTGCCTTTACATAAACAGACAGTACAAAGCAAGATGTTCTTTCATAAGTTAGAGGTCATGGGATCTGAAACTACCAAAGGATTGGCAAGGTTCATTGACAATGCAGAATGGGGTAGGGTGTTAGTCGCTGAATTCTCACTCTTGGTAGTAGAAGAATTCTTACTCTCATCGAGAGAGGATGACACTAGGAGTTGGGGTAATTTTCTTGTCTATTTCTCACAAAAACTCACACAAATGCCATGCCAACCTGAGGGGTTGGGGTTACATATTTATAGGCTGCTAGCCAGCCAAGCATATGCCAAGATGCTAGTCTAAGATGCTAGTCTAAGATGCTAATATGCTGTCCTAGCTAATATGCTGTCCTCTAGTCTAAGATGCTGTCCTCTAAGATGCTGTCCTCTAGTCTAAGATGCTGTCCTAAAAGCAGAAAAACAGCCACAAGGACCATGTGAGCAGTACAGCCCCACAAAGACCACACATGAGACTTATCCATCATAGGGCAGGTCCATGCATTGATACTGGAAAGCCAGGACAGTGGTCCCTTTAGATTGAATGAAATGCAATTGTGCAGAGCACGTGCATTGCCGTTTAACTTCTCACTGAAGTTTGTCTAAATTAGCTGTCATATTGGTAAAATTAGTAAATTGTTAAATTAACTCAAGCTAGACTAGACTAAATTAATTTATCACTGAAGTTCAGCATGCAATTGTTAGCTGTAGGGTGGATGGATGAGACTCTCTGTTCATTGAAAACCAAAACAATACTAAGGATGACAATTTTCCTCGCCTTATAGCTTCATGGAATGCCCCTCTTATTGATGAGCTGTTGCAACGAATATTTTATATTGGTTCATTATGTTGTTCTGTTATGTCTAAGTAAGAATTAGAGATCTTGGTAATTGAACTAAATATAAATATAACCTGGTGAAGGTAAGAAGCAAGGAAGAAATGAGTTTGTTATACGCCTCCAACCATCAGAAGCCATGTACATGAAACTAACTGTAAGTCCTGCTACTTCTCTAGGGTTTACTTTCTTGTTTTCATCAGTGAAATGTCATGAAATTTCTTTGGAAACTGGACGTCGATATGGGATTTGAATGTGTAGCAGAATCTCATATTAATCTTTGAAAATTAAATTGTTGCAGGTTAAGAAGCCTGGGTTGGAAATGGCTACTGAACAAAGTGAACTTGATCTGTCATATGGGATGCGGTACCAAAATGTCAAAATTCCTGAGGCATATGAACGCCTTATCTTGGATACGTAAGTGTCATCCTTTTCATCATTCTAACATATCATTCATTACAAAGAAATTCTCTCATCCTGAAATCATGGATAACTCTGTATGTATCATGTCTCGTGCTGATAACATTGCAAAGCTTCTTCTATGCAAAATTTTGCTTTTCTTTACTGCACCTGCACTGATCAATATCCATGTTTCTACAGAATTAGAGGAGACCAGCAGCACTTCGTTCGCAGAGATGAGCTAAAGGTTCGTTTCATGCCACCCTGCATATTTGTGCCCTCTTGTTGGACCTTTTATCAGCAAGAACTCTTTTGTTTCTGTTTCGCCCTTAACACCGGGATCCTTTGTCTGCAAGAACTCTTTCATTTCTGTTTTGCTCTATCCTCTAACGCTGCACCTTTCGCTTTTTTCAGGCTGCTTGGCAGATTTTCACTCCTTTGCTGCACGACATTAACGACGGCAAGTTAAGGGCCATCCCATATGAACCTGGCAGCCGAGGCCCCAAGGAAGCCGACGAATTGAGCGCGAGAGTTGGATATGTGCAGACCCACGGTTACGTATGGGTCCCACCGACCCTTGCATAGAAGAGAATGGCCGGTTCCATGGCCTTATAGGAATTGTGTGTATCTAGGATGAGTGCCCTACAATAAAGCTGCGCATATATATTGCCCATTTTCGCTGTATCGCCCGGCGTTGTAATAATGTTCTGCTGAATATCCCAACTACAATATGAAATAAAAATGCATGTTCCATTCAGTATGGAATGACCAGCGATGGAATGCTGTTTGACCCTGCAATAGCAATACCGAGGAGTTACAAAGAAAAAAACATGTTCTGGCTGACTTAGATACTCTACTATCTCTGTTCCAAATTGATTAAACTTTAGCTTTGTTCTAATCATTATTTTTTCTAATTTTGATCAGGTTTTTAGAATGATACATTAACGGAGTTGTTTGGTTGATAGTTTCTGCGGCTGATAAGTCGGCTGATGCTGATTTGTTGTGAGAGAAAAACATTTGCCCTGTTAGTTTGAATTGTTTTGTTACAGTGTTTTTCTCTCATAATAAATCAGCGAACAATACTTTTTTAGCATGGCTTCTCAGCGAAGCAAACAGGGCCGTCTGCCAGGTTCAAATAAAGTATACTATCAAGACATACAGATTTTAATAAAACTGGTTTGATATTGTAGATGTTGATATATTTTTCTAAGTTTAAAAAAAGTTCAATAATAAATTATCGACAGTGCTAGCGTTCGGACGTCCGTGTGGTAAAACCGCCTAATTTAATGTCTCACAGGAGTACTTGTCTTCCATTAGACACTAATTACTCGAAAGCGGACACTAAACTACGCAGTTCCGTCGAGCACACCCCAAGAGAGAACTCGAAAATCCACATTTTTTCATCAGGATCACAAATGAGATAATAAAGCTTGCAACATATTTAGCCATTTCTTACATCACTTTATTACAGTAACATAATATTATTTCAATTGATTATAACAGCGGAATATAACAATGTTATCAGAGTTACAAAGGAAACAAATATTTATTTGATGACCTGGTAGAGTATTAACATAGTGGACATTTATATACGAGAGATGCTAGCAGATTTTACATCTTTTCTTATAAAAACCTTTAGTGAGGGTTATAAATAAACATTACGGTCGTAGCGGGAAAGGAATCCTCTCTGAGCCCACCAGGAGGTTTCCACACACAAGAGTCAGCTCTATGCATCCTCCGATCACCTGCAACAGGGGGAATAAAACCATGAGTATTCGATTGTACTCAGCAAGACTTACCCGACATGAGGAAAATAAAAGACTCCAAGGATATGTAAGGCTTATTTGGTTTGTGGGTTAAAGCATCTCTAAGAGTTCCCTAAATCTTTTCTTAATCCTTGGTTTTTAAAAAGAAGTGAAAAAATTCATCTCCAACAACTCCTAATACAACCTCCTAGTATTTTAGAAGTTGGAAAAAATCTCCCTCGTCCGCGTAAAACTACGCACACTCTTGTCGCGTGGAAAGAGGTTCCTTCGCCTCCCGCCGTAGCAGCCGTGAAGGTTGAGGATGGTGCGGGACACCGTGGGGCGGAGGCCCAGCAGGGAGGCCAGGCGGCGGTCGGCGCTCGGGGCACGCGTGCCAGAGTAGGTGCTGAAGATGAGGTGGGTGATATCGGTGGCCGGGCGGCCCCACTCCGTGATGGCCTTGGCGGCCGCTTTCGTAGCCAGCTCCGGGACGACGGCGGAGGCGATTTCCACGCGCTCGTCCTGGGACGGCCGCGTGGGGTCGATGAAGCCTCGATTGGCGGCCAGAAGCTCCTCGTTGAGGTGCAAGTAGCGCTGCCTGATGCCGGACTTCTTGTTGTTGCAGATCCTGCTGAGCTTGGCCTTGAGGTCGGTGAGGTGCTCGTTGTTAGTGACGCGGAAGTAGTAGTCAGGGTAATCGTCCTGGGCAATGCACGTCGGCGGGTTCGCCGTGCCGATGCCGAGCACGGCGGCCGGCCCATCCGCGCGCTGCGCACGCCTCATCTCGTGGACGGTGGCCGGTGCGCTCCCCATGGACGTCGACAACGACACCTACATATGTACCAGCAGGTAGCTAGCTGTTGGTGGTTTGGAGAAGCAGGAGGAGGTGCGTTCTATTTATACCCCGATGGCTAGCTTGTTCCTCCTACTAGCTGATATCTAGCCAATGCACGCGCATGACTGCTGGTGGTGCCGGTCTGCTAGGAGGTGGTCATGGCCGGCTGGGACTGTAGGGCTAGGGCACAAGCCGAAGCCGCACAACGGAGGGAGGAGCGGCGGTGGCGTCGAAGAAAAAAAATCCAAGTGGCATCAAATTTTAATTTTTTAGAGTGGAATATTGGGTACTATTGGAGATGGATTTCTTTTTTTCTTCCAATATCTTTTTAGAAGTTGGAAAACATGGTGTTTTTAGGAAGAAAGTTTAGGAAACTCTTGGAGATGCTCTTATTGCATCTGCGGAAGCATTACTAAATATGGGACCTTATATTAAATTTTATTAGCAGTCATTATTAGTTCATTAACTAACCATTCTATGTAAGCACCTATGCTACTTTCAACTAGATGGTAAACAATTAGAACCATTTTACCATCTTTCATATTCCAGTTCTTACTACGGCGCTAGACCATAGCCAAGTCGGTACCGTCTCGTAGAAACGGCGATTCGCGAATCAATGTATCTCAGCTGGGTATCACGAAACACACGCCCCGTTTGTACCCTAGGCACAAACAAGACCAACTCATTCCACTCATGTTGAGGGGTCTAGGTCCCCGTTCAAACTTGGACTCCAAGCCCCCACACTCGAGACCCGGTCTCATTATGGTGCTTAGACCTCCACCTTTCTCCGCCTCCAATCAGTCGATCCGGAAAGAGCAGGAACCCGCGACAAGAGCATAACGAGCCTTCCTGCTCCCATAAGCAAGTATGTGGTCAAGATAATAAGTCTGTGACCTGACTACCATCCACAGCAACGGACGGTCCTTAATTGACACAGGCGAAACAAGTGCAATCCGAGCCTCGCTCGAATGCCTAACCAAGTCCAGATCCAAAATACCATTCCGCCCGGTCTTCAATTATCATTCATATATATTTCATGTGATAATAATATAATAACAACAATAATATCTTTTCTATCTCTCGCGAGTGACAGGTAATCACTCAACTTCTACCGGATCCTATAGCATAGCAATCTACACGATCCTGACATACTAGTAGATACAACCAAAATTTAGTATTCCACCATGGTGACACGATCATCGAGGCACCATCTATTCTGCTACTTCGGTCGACTCCATGATCCATCGTTGTCCCTACTATGATATTCGTAGATGCAACACAGAGACATAAATAATCAATGGTAACCAAAACTCTTAGAAATATGATTATGCCTCGCAAACTAACGAGATAGCTCTAATAACTAACGTGCTAGGCTATGTATCCATGTTGTCGAATAAGATGTTGTTAACTAGAAAATGTTCTAGTTTTCAAATCCCAAGGTGTTTCGACATTTTATTGATTAAATATATATTTTCAAACTAGGACTCATTTAGTTGCCTTAGCAAAATAATTATTATGGATCTAAAAAAAAAGTGAGCACCTAATAATGTTAGAAATTTACTGTGAAAGTTTCAGAGTCAACACTATAACCAATTTATCACAACAATTTCTACAAGTTTATATCTTACAATATTAAGCATCTTAAATTAATTAGATAACTCCTAAAAATATTATAAAACTATATGAACAAAGCATACTAGCAGATAGATCATGATTTTATGAACTTAACAAAATTAGTTTCACAATTTTTGGTCAATTACACAAATTTATTATGAATTTACAATTTTGCCTTAGAAACTCATTTAGAAAATGCTTAGAAAAAAAGAAAAAGGGCCGGCGGTACTCAATTCGGCCCGGCAACCTAGCGGCCCAGCGTGGGCACGTCATGATGACCCAACACGGACCAAGGCCGGGAGGCCCGCGCACGACGGCGGCTTTGCAGAAAAGCCCTCGTGCTTTTAGATAATAACATGACTACTATACGCACTATTCCTACCGTTAGTAATCTTGCAACTAAACCCTTATATGTTTTCACCTTCACCACGGGGAGGTCCCTGGGGATCCCCGCGTGCGCCGGAGCGGCGGCCGACGGCATAAGGCGGTTACGCCGGGCAATCTAGGTGTGCTACAATGGGAGTAAGGGGCCGACCATCATTTATAGCTAAACATGCAAGGATGGGTGGCAGTTAGGGACTCGGAGGTGCACTGTCATGGGCTGCAGCGACAAGCGGCTATCCGCGACAGCGGCGCAACTGTTCCGGCACGATGACCCAACACGGAGCAAGGCCTATGCCCTTACGAAAGGTAGAGATGGCGGAGAAGCATCAGTAGCTCACCGTGGTGTGCGCTCTACTGACGGTTGAAGCAGGGGAGCGCTGCGACGGTCTAGCCACGTGCGAGCCACCGGGGCGGCGGTGCTCTAGGATGGACACCCATGCGTCACCACGTCGCCGACAAGTTCCCTGGCCAAAATAGCATGAGCACCAAATGGAGGGAGTCAAGGCAAGTTCAGGGTTACGAGAAATTGAACTGTTACCACTCCTACGAGCCTTACCCCTAACTCTCTGGTCACGGCGGCGCACATGACCGGTAGCGAGCAAAATCCGAAATTGGCCGTGGCCAGACCACTGCTGGACCCGACGAGAGTGGGGCGTCTAGCTAACTTCCTCTGCTTCTCGCTGACGCAAGGAATTGAGCTGGGAAGCTTTGAGTTGGTGATTATGAAGGGAAGAGGGCGGCGCATCGCCCCTGCTACATCACACGACATGACCCGATAGGGTATGACAACGTGAGGACATGGCCGCATGAGCGAGGGCAGGAGGCGCGTCGAGTAGTGCTAGACAGAGCCAAGAGGTGTGCCAGCGCGCGGAGCACTTGAATGCGGTAGTTGGGCCCGAGCGGCTCACCGATGTCGACTAGCGGGACAGGGCAAAGCAGGGAGGCGTCACCGTCACCCAGAAGCTGGGGTCGGCTGACCCAGACACGACGAGCGGCGACACAGACTCGTGCTAGGTGAATCATAGGGCAGGGTGACTGCCTCGGCCCGACCTCGCGCGTGGATCAGCGGTCAAAATGGCGCGCGCACGCGGCGATAGTGGGGGCACCCGACAACAGCATCACGATGACGTCTTGCCACGTGATCGCGCAGTAGCTGCACCGGCGTAGCGTAGTTGAAAGGTCCTAATGGCTAGAGGGGGTGAATAGCCTGTTAAAAATTTATACAACAACACTTAACAAACCAATTAGATAATTATAAGGCGAAGCAAGTGTTGCGCTAGCCTACTAAAAATACAAGCCACCTACCACAATTCTAGTTTCTATAGTTTCTATCCACACAATGGCTATGTCACTATACTAAGTTAGTGTGCTCTCAAAGACTAACTAAAGAGCCATACTGACCAAACTAACAAGCTCTCACAACTAGCTACACTAAAGAGCTTGATAACTAGTTTACGGTAATGTAAAGAGAGAGAGTAAGATGGTTATACCACCATGTCGAGGAATGAACCAATCAATCACAAGAATCAATATCAATGAAGACCAATCACTTCGGAATCAAATGATGACACAATGATTTTTTATCGAGGTTCACTTACTTGCCGGCAAGCTAATCTTCGTTGGGACGATTCACTCACTTGGAGGTTCACGCGCTAATTGGCATCACACGCCAAACTCTCAATAGGGTGCCACACAACCAACACAAGATGAGGATCACACAAGCTACGAGCAATTCACTAGAGTACCTTTTGCCTCTTGAAAGCTCTAGTTTGGTTTTGGTTAATTGATGAAACCCTAAGTGCTAACCTAGTTTATCAAAGTGATTATGAGATAGGTAGCACTACTCCAAGTGATGAAGTAATGGCGAAGATCATGACGATGGTGATGGCATGTTGATGATCAAATGCTTAAACTTGGAAAAGAAGAAAGAGAAAAACAAAAGGCTCAAGGCAAAGGTAAAAATTGTAGGAGCCATTTTATTTTAGTAGTCGAGACACTTAGCGAGTGTGATCACATTTAGGATCGATAGCCGTACTATTAAGAGGGGTAAAACTCGTATCGAAATGCGGTTATCAAAGTGCCACTAGATGCTCTAACTCATTGCATATGCATTTAGGATCTAGTGGAGTGCAAACACCCTTGAAAATGTTTATGAAAATATGCTAACACATGTGCACAAGGTGAAACACTTGGTGGTTGGCACATTTGAGCAAGGGTTAGAAACTTCACCGGTGGAGTGTTCGCCCGTAGAGTGCGGACAGTCCGACAGTGCCACCGGCGCCCTATATAGAAAAGACAGGGTTTCACTGGAGTGACTGGATGCTGGCCTCTACTGGAACGGTGCGTCCGGTCAGTGACAACAGTGAGCTCGCGTCTTGGTCTTGTGACCGGATGCTGGCGCAAAATCTGACCGGACGCTCAGGGTCTGAGTCCGGTCAGTGCTGACGTATGCAGATGTGGGACGCATAGAGGAGACATTGAGTGATCGGACGCTGGGTGAGTCCGGTCGGGCATGACCGGACGCGTTCGGTCGTGAAATCTCGCGTTTGGAACCTTACTGGAAACGACCGGACGATGGGGTCCAGCGTCCGGTCACTTTCTAACTGACACATTCGGTCATCACTTGACCGTTGAGATCAGGCGATCGATATGTGAAGAGAGGGGACACGTGGCACGCATCGCGTGACTGGACGCTGAGGTCCAGCGTCCGATCGATCTGACCGGTGCGTCCGGTCGGCCCGTGTTCAGCCCAGTGAAGGGGTACAACGGCTCTATTTCGTGGGAGCTTCTATTTAAGCCCTATGGCCGGCTCAAGCTCATTCTCTTGGCCATTTGCATTGACATAGCAACCTTGTGAGCTTAGCCAAAGTCCTCATACTCATCTTCATCATTGATTCATTATCTTTGTGAGATTGGGAGAGAATCCAAGTGCATTGCTTGAGTGATTGCATCTAGAGGCACTTGGTATTCGTGTTTCGCT